TCGAAGAGATCAAAGGACGATAAATCTAATCAAATTCCTACAAGCTATTTCGGCATTCCTTTTCGTTTTAGTCATTATTTCAATTCAACTATGGCAAGTTTCGATGTGAGATTGATCCCAGAATTCGACGGTACTGGGGATGTTGTCGACTGGATCGAAAAGGTGGAAATGGTATGCAATCTTCAGCAACCGGCTGCAGATCAAGTGGTAGTCATACCACTGCGATTGAAGGGTGGCGCTTCTGCTGTTTATCGGCAGCTGCCTGAAGTGGACAGGAGAGAGGCGGTTAAGGTAAAGGCGGCTCTGCGACGCGCCTTTGCCGCTGATAAATACACTGCGTATGAAATGTTCAGCGCGCGTCGGCTGGGCACGGGAGAATCGGTAGATGTGTATTTGGCAGACTTGCAACGGCTGTCAACCCTCTTTGGAGGGCTCTCCGAAGAAGGGATGGGATGCGCGTTCGTTGCCGGCCTACCCGAATCTGTGAAGCAAATGCTACGGGCCGGCGCTCGCATGGAGTCATTGACTCTATCTGAAGTCGTGGATAGGGCCAGAGCCATCCTACGGGAAGACTGCAAGGTACCCGATATAACGGCTATGGTGGTGCGACGGGGAAGAGACGGCCAAGACCAGCGCTTCAATGGTGGGAGGAAGGAGCGAGGGCCGTGTTACGCGTGCGGTCGTCTGGGACATATCGCGCGTGAATGTCAGGCGCGTGAAGGAAACGGTCCAAGCATGGTGAGATGTTTCCGGTGCAACAAGCGTGGGCATATCGCGGCTCAGTGCCCGGAAAACGAGGAGCGAGAGGCGGTCCATGCGCCGGCCTCCTCTCGGGACTGAGATGGAACGGCGCGCTGCCGGTGAGGGAGCTATCGATGAACGGAGTTGACTGTGATGTCTTAATTGACACGGGATGTACTCGCACTGTGATTCATTCGTCACTCTGCGCTGTTTGGGAGAAGCGGGACGTGTACGTACTGACGGCCAACGGGGAGAGGCTGGAATGTGCGGGTACGGCTGGTGTTCGTGTGCAGGTTCCGGGGATGGCACCAGTAGTTGTTGATGCACTTGTGGTTGCTAAGAAGCCGCTGGGATTCAGTGCGATTCTCGGCATGGATGGAGTGAGTGCTCTCGGGGGAGTAGCGGTGCGATCGCCCTCTGAGGTAAAGTTCGCCGGCGAGAACGAAGCATGTGGCTGTGTGGGGGACCCGCAAGATCTGACTGTTGATAAGGAAGACTTCCGTGTCGTTTTCGCTGCGGAGCTGCAGCGCTGGACAGTGGAATGGAAGTGGTCCGGTGAGGAGCCACCAGTTCGCCTCAAGAATGGAGTGAGCGAGTATACTGTGCCGGATGAGGTCAGAAAGGACTATGAAGAGGAGATTGAGACCTGGATCAAGAACGGATGGCTACTAGAATACGATGAAGAAGAACACGGTCCCCCGAAAGGCCTGATTCCACTCATGGCAGTGGTCCAAGAGAATAAAGGGAAGGTGCGACCCGTGCTTGACTTCCGCGAGATCAACACATTTGTCGACACGTACACGGCAGATGTTGATGTGTGTGACGAGAAACTCCGCGAATGGCGTCAGATGGGAGCGAACGTAGCGCTTCTGGACCTCCAGAAAGCATACCTTCAGATACATGTAGACGAATCTCTGTGGCCTTACCAGACTGTCGAGTACAAAGGGACAAGATACTGTCTGAGTCGACTTGGATTTGGCCTGAACATCGCACCAAGGGTGATGAAGACAGTCCTCGAGGCAGTGGTGAATCAAGACGAGGACGTGGCAAAGGCAGTGTCATCATATGTCGACGATGTCTTGGTCAATGAGGATGTGATGTCCGCGGAAAATGTGAGCAAACATCTTCGAGCCTTTGGGCTCCAGTGCAAGGAACCAGTAAGACCAAAAGAAGGCGCTCGGATTCTCGGTCTCCGAGTTCAGGAAGAGCATGGCAACCTCAAATGGAAGAGGGACAACGACGTCCGAGAGATCGACGGGCCGGTGACGAAACGCAAGGTGTTCTCGCTTTGCGGCCGTTTGACTGGACACCTTCCGGTGTGTGGCTGGCTGCGGCCAGCGGTGTCGTTCTTGAAGCGAAAGGCTAATGAAGCGGCGGACGCTTGGGACGACGTCATCGAGGACAGTTTAGTGAATGGGCTGATCGAAGAGATAATGACGCAAATTAACACAGATGACCCAGCGAGAGGTCAGTGGGACGTCAAAGGGAACGAGGTGACGGTCTGGGCGGACGCCAGCATGTTGGCCTTGGGAGTGGTCCTCGAGATCGAGGGCGAGGTGGTGGAGGACGGATGCTGGCTGCGACCAACCGACGGAACACATATCAACATGGCAGAACTTGATGCCGCGCTGAAGGGCGTCAACATGGCCATCCTCTGGGGTGCTAAGAGAGTTCGACTGATGACGGATTCGCGTACTGTGTACCATTGGATCACTGACCTCCTGAGCGGCAAAGCACGGTTAAAGACGAAGGCCGTCTCGGAAATGCTTATCCGGCGAAGGCTGAGTACACTGAAGATGCTGGCCGACGAGTACAACCTGGAGATCAGCGTTCACAGCGTGGCCTCTGCTGACAACAAAGCTGATAAGCTCACCAGAGTGCCGGAGCGGTGGCGAGACACGCGTGCAGGCAGTGGTCCGGCTTGCATCATGGCGGGTGCAGAAGGAGACGAAGATGAAGCCGGGCTAGTGAAGGAGGTGGAGCGGGTGCATCATGCCGCTGGACACCCAGGTGTCAGAAGAACTTTGTACTTTTCCAAGAGGGCAAACTTGCGGGTCACCAAGCGTATGGCACGATCTGTTGTATCAGCTTGTCAGACGTGCCGGTCGATCGACCCGGCACCGGAGAAGTGGACTGGCGGACAGCTGTCGGTAGACATTGTCTGGGAGCGAGTCGCAGTTGATGTCACGCACTTCCAGGGGCGCCTCTATCTGATGGTGGACTGCGGACCATCAAGGTTCGCGATTTGGCGCCAGCTGCGATGTGAGAGCGCGGCGTACGTCACAGGGGAGATGTCATCGATTTTCTACGAGAGGGGAGCACCTTCAGAGCTGCTGGCCGATAATGCTACCGTATTCCGCAGCCGCGCATTTCAGGCATTCGTCCGTGAATGGGGCACCCGGGTGCGGTACCGAGCAGCGTACGCACCATCGGGTAATGGCATCGTCGAACGAAATCACCGCTCCGTGAAGGTGATTGCTGCGAGGAAGGGATGTGGCGTGCCGGAGGCGGTGTATTTGTACAATGCGACTCCGAGGGACGACTCGACCGACGCAGCAACCCCTGTCAGCATGGTGTACAAGTACACAGTGAGAGTCAAGGCAGTGGATCCGGTTCAGCCCGCTGAAGAGCCCGAGCCAGATACATGCAGGTACAGCGTGGGAGATGCGGTGTGGGTGAAATCGGCGCGGGGGCGATGTGACGATCAGTACAACGAGGGAGTGGTGACTGGGCGAGTGTCACTGCAGACTGTGGAAGTGGATGGGGTGCCAAGACATGTGCGCCACCTGCAGCCCCGTGAGGCGCACGTGGAACAGCCTCAGAGTGATACCGCAGATGACGAAGGGCCGCTCCTTGTGCGTCTCCCAGAGGAGAACCGGGAGGAGATGGGTCAGGGAGAGGGACAGTGTCGGCGGTCCCAGCGGCAGGTGCGGGCTCCCATGCGGTACGGTTTCGATCAGGATCGGGGAGGAGTGTGATTTAATGTTACCGCTTGAAAGGGCGTTGTTTCAAAAGTGCACGTGAACTGGTCATTTATTTGTTAAGTGAATTGAATGTTCTGCTTTTTGGGTCAGGTGGGGTGAGGCCCTGGCAAGAAGGGAAGATTGCTTGGGGCTTAGGGGCATCTGGGAGGAGTATGACTTATGAGTAAAAGTGATTATGTGGAAGACTCGTGTGGAAAAGGCGTAGGCCGGCTTTGGTGATCCGGTGATTCTTAGTGTCAATTGTGATTACTGATCATGTTTGTTCATTAATACGAAAGATAACTTATCGGACAGTTTTGGTGTCGAAGAGATCAAAGGACGATAAATCTAATCAAATTCCTACAATATGTTAGTTACATAACTGTGCATAATTATCGCCAACATGATTTAAAAACATATCAAACCAACTAAATGCCCATTGTGATACAAATCCGGTGGCGATTATCTACTGTTCCCCGTAGGTACGGCCACATTAAAAATCAATCAGGTGATACCTATCTTTTATGCTTAGCCACAACTGTTAGACGATGACACTCCACTGCTGAGCGACCGCGCTGCTTATACCGCGGTCAGCTGGTTCAACGGGTCCCATCCATCGGGCGCACCTGTTGCTTTAGAGACCATAATACAAACACCGCGCCGCGCCTGGCCGCTGCGGTCCATGGCTAGGTCCGTTGATCCGTCCGTCAGCCCGTCTGTCTACATGCACGGCTCGAGAGCCTGCGGCGGGGCTCCTCTCCCACGCGACGCACACGGCTCGGCGCGCCGGAACCGGGCCACTTCCGGTTGGATCGATCGGCGCGCGGCCAGCTCCGGAGGCTCCGCTCCTCCCCCGCGGCCGCCACCTGGAGCCCGGCGCACCGGATTCCGAGCCACCCAGGCGTCCGTTATCGGAGCAATGATATTGCCATTTCGCAATGAATGCCAGGGAGTCGGAATGTGGGTGGTTATGGAACCGGTGGGCGGTGACTGAGGTCGCTCTGTCTCCGCCGCACAGTGGCTGCGCAAGGAGATTTATTTTGGGTTTTATTTCAGGAGGTATATTTCCTCATTATGCACTTATGCAGGTTTGATTCGTCTGAGGTCGATTTGACGTGTAAATTAAAACACGCAACTTTACTGCTTCACGTCCTTTTTTCTGGATCTAGCTTTCGAGGTCCGTCTCATCAAATTGATTGCAAAATGCAACTTGACCACTCAAGAACTCTAACTCTGCGCCTACGCGGAGCTAAACTAACCCTTGTGCTAACTCCGCCTCCCTTTGTTTTCCGGCAGGCTACGGGTTCGTTGACTTCGATACTGCCGAGGCGGCGCAGAAGGCGGTCAAACAGCTGGTCGGCAAGAACATCCAGGCGCAGATGGCGCGTCAGCAGGAGCAGGACCCGACCAACCTCTACATCACGAACCTGCCGGCCTCCTTCACGGAGCGGGAGCTGGAGGCGCTGCTACAGCGGCACGGCACCGTCATCTCGACCCGGATCCTGAGGGACGACCGCGGCACCAGTCGCGGGGTCGGCTTCGCCAGGTGAGGATTGACAGGGGAGGTTTGTTAGTCAGATGGGGCTTCTCAATAAGAAGCTAGGATGTATAAGGAGGGAGGCGGGTAAGGTACTTGTCAGATGAGCAAGGAAAGGAGTGGAGTTTGTCATATGAGAATGGAAAAGGACTGAGTCTTAGGCGAGGTCAGAGAAGGACAGGGCTTGCAAAGTGAGAAGGAAAAGGAAGGGGGCTGATCAGTTGAGCCTTCTTTAACCCGTGGCTTCTCAACGGGATGACGCCTGACACTGACCGTCTCTCCTACTCTGTCCCCAATTCCATGCCGCTCCCACGTTGAAAGACAGCAAAAACTGACTGTCCCTCTCTTTCCTCGCCAGGATGGAGTCTCCGGAGACGTGTGAGAACATCATCAAGACGCTCAGCGGCCACATCATCGACAACCACAGCCAGAAGCTGGTCATCAAGTTCGCCGACGGCAACAAGAAGCGCCAGCAGCAGAAGGGCTACGACCAGCGGTGGCGGGAGAGCGTCGACGCCAGCCGCGTCAACCCGTACGACGCGTCTCCGCTGCCGGCGGCGGCTCTGGGCGGCGGCGCTGGCGGCGTGCCGGCCGGCCTGGCGCAGCACTACTCGGCCATGCCAGTACCGTACCTGCCCGGCCCCGGCTGGCCGCCCCAGTCGGTAGTTATCGGCGGCCCGATGCCCTCCATGGATATGGACGTGTACGCGCTGCTGCAGGGCATGCAGCAGATGCACGTCAGCGGCGGCCCGGCGGCCGGCTACGGCGCGCCGGCGCCCCAGTACGGGGGCTACCCGCAGCCGGCGCCGGCCTACCACCACCCGGCCGCCCCCGGCATGCCGCACATGTACCACCACCCGCACATGATGCCCATGCCCGTGGTGGAGCCCGATGGTGTGACCAACGGCGCCGAAGACTAGGACAACAGGCATGATAGGTGAGTACTGAGTGAGGTCAGCGCTGACGAGACGGAACGGGTCTCTTGGTCCAGTAAGCCGCTCTGATTAGCTACAGCTTTCAGGGACTTGTGGGCAGAATATGTTTTGTGGCTAATCTCGAGCCTTCCTTGGTATTCTAGAGTTTTGACAATGAAAATATCTGTCTGATGTAAATTGTAATCAACCTCGAATTGGTTACGCTGTCCATTGAATATTATATTTTGACAATGTTTATTACTGATTACTATCTCGATTATTATCTTTACCAGATCTGTCAATTTTGCTGCAGATTTTCAATGACATGCACCCAAATTCCTGCAATGCTGACTGGTGCTTTTTGTCGCTCGAGTCGCTATTTGTATCGTGATGCACTCATGTATGACGTCAGACGGTAGTTCACCCGCGTCATTGCATTGAATCATATCCCCAATACTCACGAAAGCCTGGCTTATACCTCGCCGGAAGTGGTTTCACAATGTGTCTTTCCTTCCAGATAATGTTTGTGTACATATGGAATGGCGGCCGCGGGCCTGGGCCAGATACCCCGCAAGAGCGAGCTTACGAAGGGTCCGACCGACGCGACACGGTGCGGCGTCGCTCAGAGGCTGTAGTTCGCCAGCCGGCCGTGCGTGGCGCTACCAGTAGTGGGCTAGCTGGACTGCTGCTCAGGAACGGATGCCAAACCGAGAGACACTAAGGCAGAGCGTCCAGCCGGCTGCGGGCCTGCTGTTAAGTTTTAGTCGTGAGAGCCGACGGGCGCAGACTGCTGGATCGGTCTCGTCTGATGATTGGTGCGTTTTGAATCGTGACGGGCGCGCTGCCGACTCCCGACCAGTAACGTGCCCTTTTCGGCGGTCTGTTGCGACGACCGCGTTTTGGGCGACACTGGAGGAGGGTGCCGCGGCGGAGCGCCCCGTGCGCGTCTCGTCTCGCCTTCTATGTGCGCCTCCCAGGGACAGGAGCTCATGTTCAGGCGTTTGTGTGCCTCCGAACCAGGCAACTGCGACGCAGGGATATCCGTGTGACGTCATCAACGATCCGACATTCCACCAGAGGCGACCGTCTTGGTTTGCTATTTTGTACAGGTTTTGCATGTCTGCGCCGTTGTGCGCGCCCGGCCGATGTGTCAGAGAATGTGCCGCGGACCGGCCCCCGCCGCCGGGCTGGCCGCTGGTATGTGACGTTCCGTGCTCAGTGCCGGCGCCTCCCCAGTTAGCTAGAGCCTCCTTTCCCCGAGCGTTTTGTTCTCACACGGTGCCTTGTTTCATCGTACCTCCAGCCGAAAACCGGGCTCTATTTTACTACCAGACTCGTGAGCCGAGACCGCGGCGCGTAGGCCAGTGAGCGGCTTCTGAAGCCGAGCGGTAGTGTGGTGGTCGGCCGTTGCGTGGCGGCGTAGCGCTCGGACGGTGTATATAGAGGTGCTGCTGCGGCAGCGCTGCGCGGCACTGTGTCTCGTCCTGTGGTGTCTGCCTCCGCTGCGCCGGCCGCCGTGAATTTTTGTGGTGATTTTGTTGATTTCCGGTGGATTCGGGCCACCTCCGGTGGCTGTAGCGCCCCAGTGCTGGGTTCCTGGTGCTGCAGGTGTATTCGCCACCAGAAAACCACGACACATCGATTTATGAACGTTGGCTGAACCGATCAAATGTCATTCCAACTCTACACCGGACGACGCGGCGAACAGTAGCCGCGACGTCACCGCGACTTTTTCGTGACGTCATGTGTGTTTGATGGAGGGCGGGCGTCCGCCCCGCCCGGCTGGCTCGGATGGCGCGGCGGCGTTATTTTTGTACAGATTTTTGTGCTCGGGTGTCCCGTGGTGCCGCGTGGCTTCAAGCGGAATGTGCCGTGGTCGTGTTGAAGGAACTGTGTGTGTAAATAGGTGCCGATAGCGGCAGGTGCTGCAGGGGCGACATCTAGCGGCGCGACTGGGGCGCCGCCAGGCGGCCGCTCTGTGAAGCGGCGCGATGTGGGCTGCCGGCCGCGGCCTCGGTGGGTTGTTGATGGTTGAAGAGTTTATGTGCGGCCGATAAGGGCTGACGGGGCTGCGGCGCACTCAGCTTTAACAACAATCGGCTGCGCCCGACGAGGCAGGGCGGGAGGGTCTGGTCAGAGGAAATACAGACCGAACTGTGAGTGGAAAGATGGTGTTTGACTTGGGAGGATGGTAGGCGTCGAGGCGTTGTCGAAATGTGACAGAGGAGGCTGTTAAACTGTGATAAGTTTCCAGAATGTGCAGATTTCTCATAAGATAGTCTCGAACGAAATAAACTTGAAAATTTCAACACCGATGAGACAGGCGCTGATTTTTAGCCTGGTTGGATCGCGTAAAACTAATAATTTGACCTTTCGGAATCGATGGATCTCGAAAGCTTAGGGATAGTGAGAAATTCAGCGAGCATGGTGTCATTCTAAGGTCATCGGCGCTCTCTCCAATGCCCAGTTACAAGTTAATCGGACGTTGAGCTCGTCTCAGTCCAAACTCGAACAAGAAAAAGTCAGTCTCATATTTTAACCCTCGCTGGCACAGGCCATTTTGAGTCCTTCGACGGCACAAGGGGGGGGGGGGGGAGGGGGTTGGTACGACCCCCCATCGCGTTTGGCCCCTGATGGAGCTAGAGCTTCGCGGAAAAAACGAGCGTGTTGCCCGTCACGAGAGGAAGCCAATGATACCCAATTTTAAGGTCCTAGGTCATCGGTTGACCTTCCAAGTCAGGTCAATGACCCAAACATCGAGAATATCGGGACCTGTCAGAAAGTCGTAAAGCGTGGCTGCTAAGGGGTTTTCCGGGGTGCTGATCACGAATATTGTGTTAGTGTTGATCACAGAGGATGACGTTAAGCGTTTAGACAAGGTGGGGTCAGGTCAGATCAGGTCAACCGGTAGGGGTCGTGACGGGTATTCGTAATACGTGTCATCCGCCTCTGACAGCTTCGTAACATGTTACGAAGGCACTAAAACTACTTCGTAAATGTTCAAAGGGTTGCTAAATTCGAATTCAGCTCCAAAAACTAGCATAGAAACATGTAAAACTCGAAAAAGTGAACCGAGGTCACAAAAGTTCAATGACCTGACCTGACCTTCAGGTGACCTTGACACCCACCCTAATGCATGGGAGCAGCATCAAATCACATGTTTGAACGTTTGAAACCACGAAAAGCTTCCAAACGCGCGACTAATGCGAGCCGACATACGCCGAATCGCGATTCCGGGCAAACATGGTCTCGGAAAAGAGGTCACAGGTCAAAGGTCATTTGGGTCAGGGTCATGAAATTTCCAGGGTAGGTGTAAAATTGATCAATGCGAGGGTACTGAAAGTGTCGTCGCGATCGGCCGCTATTTACGCGAGTTATTCGCGAAGAACCTTAGGGGGGTTGCATTAACCCCCCCCCCCCCTGTGCCGGCGAGGGTCAAAGGTCCTTGGATGGCTGTTTGACTTTAGGGGTGAATTCTAGGCATTTTGGAGCGTTTTGTCTTATCTTGAATGTATGTTACGCATAACGTTCGACGTCGCAGCTATTCCAAGCCCAGACCTTCACCTGCTTGCGTAGCAGTGCATTAGGTATTGTCTCATAGCCGGAAACGGGCCCGCATTTGTCGCAGACGGTTCATTTGGTCCAAAGCTGGAATCGGAACCGTTTTTTAACATGTCCATCAAGTTAGCGTCGTATTCGTATTCGTTTTCAGCGTCGAGTTCAAAACATCACCAAACTATGCCAAACGATAGATCTTGACACGCTGATTCCAAAAATATCACTCATTTTTTCCTAGGTCAAATATTTTGACCTCTAGGGGCAAAAAACCACTCTGGCTATAAACAACAATAAGGTACTTCTTTATTTACCGTCCGATCGGGCTACAACTTACACAAAACATGTGCCGCCACACAAGGATGCGTCACAATCAACAAAATCGCCGATCGAGGTCAAAGGCCAAGGTCATATTTGCGAAAAACCGTTATTTTTCGACGGGGTACCGAATAAAAACTTTATTTACCGTCCGATCGGGCTGAAACTTACACAAAACATGTGCCGCCACACAAGGATGCGTCACAATCAACAAAATCGCCGATCGATGTCAAAGGTCAAGGTCATATTTGCGAAAAACCGTTATTTTTCGACGGGGTACCAAATAAAAACTTTATTTACCGTCCGATCGGGCTGAAACTTACACAAAACATGGGCCGCCACACAAGGATGCGTCACAATCAACAAAATCGCCGATCGAGGTCAAAGGTCAAGGTCATATTTGCGAAAAACCATTAGTTTTCGACGGGGTACCGAATAAAAACTTTATTTACCGTCCGATCGGGCTGAAACTTACACAAAACATGTGCCGCCACACAAGGATGCGTCACAATCAACAAAATCGCCGATCGAGGTCAAAGGTCAAGGTCATATTTGCGAAAAACCGTTATTTTTCGACGGGGTACCAAATAAAAACTTTATTTACCGTCCGATCGGGCTGAAACTTACACAAAACATGTGCCGCCACACAAGGATGCGTCACAATCAACAAAATCGCCGATCGAGGTCAAAGGTCAAGGTCATATTTGCGAAAAACCGTTATTTTTCGACGGGGTACCAAATAAAAACTTTATTTACCGTCCGATCGGGCTGAAACTTACACAAAACATGTGCCGCCACACAAGGATGCGTCACAATCAACAAAATCGCCGATCGAGGTCAAAGGTCAAGGTCATATTTGCGAAAAACCGTTATTTTTCGACGGGGTACCAAATAAAAACTTTATTTACCGTCCGATCGGGCTGAAACTTACACAAAACATGTGCCGCCACACAAGGATGCGTCACAATCAACAAAATCGCCGATCGAGGTCAAAGGTCAAGGTCATATTTGCGAAAAACCGTTATTTTTCGACGGGGTACCAAATAAAAACTTTATTTACCGTCCGATCGGGCTGAAACTTACACAAAACATGTGCCGCCACACAAGGATGCGTCACAATCAACAAAATCGCCGATCGAGGTCAAAGGTCAAGGTCATATTTGCGAAAAACCGTTATTTTTCGACGGGGTACCAAATAAAAACTTTATTTACCGTTCGATCGGGCTGAAACTTACACAAAACATGTGCCGCCACACAAGGATGCGTCACAATCAACAAAATCGCCGATCGAGGTCAAAGGTCAAGGTCATATTTGCGAAAAACCGTTATTTTTCGACGGGGTACCAAATAAAAACTTTATTTCCCGTCCGATCGGGCTGAAACTTACACAAAACATGTGCCGCCACACAAGGATGCGTCACAATCAACAAAATCGCCGATCGAGGTCAAAGGTCAAGGTCATATTTGCGAAAAACCGTTATTTTTCGGTTACTTTGACGGTTTTTCGCAAATATGACCTTGACCTTTGACCTCGATCGGCGATTTTGTTGATTGTGACGCATCCTTGTGTGGCGGCACATGTTTTGTGTAAGTTTCAGCCCGATCGGACGGTAAATAAAGTTTTTATTTGGTACCCCGTCGAAAAATAACGGTTTTTCGCCAATATGACCTTGACCTTTGACCTCGATCGGCGATTTTGTTGATTGTGACGCATCCTTGTGTGGCGGCACATGTTTTGTTTAAGTTTCAGCCCGATCGGACGGTAAATAAAGTTTTTATTTGGTACCCCGTCGAAAAATAACGGTTTTTCGCAAATATGACCTTGACCTTTGACCTCGATCGGCGATTTTGTTAATTGTAACGCATCCATGTGTGGCGGCACATGTTTTGTGTAAGTTTCAGCCCGATCGGACTGTAAATAAAGTTTTTATTTGGTACCCCGTCGAAAAATAACGGTTTTTCGCAAATATGACCTTGACCTTTGACCTCGATCGGCGATTTTGTTGATTGTGACGCATCCTTGTGTGGCGGCACATGTTTTGTGTAAGTTTCAGCCCGATCGGACGGTAAATAAAGTTTTTATTTGGTACCCCGTCGAAAAATAACGGTTTTTCGCAAATATGACCTTGACCTTTGACCTCGATCGGCGATTTTGTTGATTGTGACGCATCCTTGTGTGGCGGCACATGTTTTGTGTAAGTTTCAGCCCGATCGGACGGTAAATAAAGTTTTTATTTGGTACCCCGTCGAAAAATAACGGTTTTTCGCAAATATGACCTTGACCTTTGACCTCGATCGGCGATTTTGTTGATTGTGACGCATCCTTGTGTGGCGGCACATGTTTTGTGTAAGTTTCAGCTCGATCGGACGGTAAATAAAGTTTTTATTCGGTACCCCGTCGAAAAATAACGGTTTTTCGCAAATATGACCTTGACCTTTGACCTCGATCGGCGATTTTGTTGATTGTGACGCATCCTTGTGTGGCGGCACATGTTTTGTGTAAGTTTCAGCCCGATCGGACGGTAAATAAAGTTTTTATTTGGTACCCCGTCGAAAAATAACGGTTTTTCGCAAATATGACCTTGACCTTTGACCTCGATCGGCGATTTTGTTGATTGTGACGCATCCTTGTGTGGCGGCACATGTTTTGTGTAAGTTTCAGCCCGATCGGACGGTAAATAAAGTTTTTATTTGGTACCCCGTCGAAAAATAACGGTTTTTCGCAAATATGACCTTGACCTTTGACCTCGATCGGCGATTTTGTTGATTGTGACGCATCCTTGTGTGGCGGCACATGTTTTGTGTAAGTTTCAGCCCGATCGGACTGTAAATAAAGTTTTTATTTGGTACCCCGTCGAAAAATAACGGTTTTTCGCAAATATGACCTTGATCTTTGACCTCGATCGGCGATTTTGTTGATTGTGACGCATCCTTGTGTGGCGGCACATGTTTTGTGTAAGTTTCAGCCCGATCGGACGGTAAATAAAGTTTTTATTTGGTACCCCGTCGAAAAATAACGGTTTTTCGCAAATATGACCTTGACCTTTGACCTCGATCGGCGATTTTGTTGATTGTGACGCATCCTTGTGTGGCGGCACATGTTTTGTGTAAGTTTCAGCCCGATCGGACGGTAAATAAAGTTTTTATTTGGTACCCCGTCGAAAAATAACGGTTTTTCGCAAATATGACCTTGACCTTTGACCTCGATCGGCGATTTTGTTGATTGTGACGCATCCTTGTGTGGCGGCACATGTTTTGTGTAAGTTTCAGCTCGATCGGACGGTAAATAAAGTT